CCGAGCCAATACCCATTTTCTTAAAACATGCCAAGAATAATTTAACTGGCTTGGTGCCCATTGCTCAGTGGTTAGGGCGCTGGCCACATACACTGGGGTTGGTGGGTTTGAACTGGGCCAGGGTCTGCTAAACAACAACAACTATAACAAAAAAAAAGCTGGGTGTTGTGGAGGGCACCTATAGTCCCAGCTACCTGGGAGGCTGAGGCAAGAGAATTGCTTAAGCCCAAGAGTTAGAGGTTGCTGTGAGCTGTGATGCCATTGTACTCTAGAGGATGACATAGTAAGACTCTGTCTCAAAAAAAAAGAATAATTTAACAGATATATAAAAAAGACTGATAAATTCTGGAGTAGAAGGAGGTACTTACTATCCCTTAATTAACATGGCAGATTAGACATCTATAAAGTTTTATCTAACCCATTTAAGGCACCACTCTTTACAATTCTTAGTTTTAAAAAGAATTCTATGGCATTTAACTAATTTTTTTTTGAGATGGTCTCATTTTGTCACCCTCAGTAGTAGAGTACGATGGTATCATAGCTCACAGCAACTTCAAACTCTTCAAACTTCAAGCACTATTCTTGTTTCTGCCTCCAGAATAGCTAGAACTATAGGCCCCCGCCATAGTGCATGGTTATTTTTTTAGAGATGGGGGTTTCAACTCTTGCTTAGGCTGGTCTTGAACTGCTGAGCTCAAGCAATCCACCTACTTCAACCTCCCAGAGGACTATAGTTGTGAGCTACCTTCCCTACCCTGGCCTTTAACTAATTTTAATAGCAATTTTATAGCAACTATTGTTTCAGTATTCTTACTTTGCCTACAATGCCAGAAAGGCACTAAGTAACAGCTAATAAAAAATTCTAAATGATATCTAAGAGGAGAAACACAGTCAAGTGTTTATTTCTCATTTTTTGCAAACATACCATTAAATTGGAAAAAATATTTTCATAAATTCTGGATGTGCAAATCCCTACATCTCAGATGGACAATATTTTTTCTTATGATTTAAAAATATTTATTCTTAGCATTTAGCTGTTTTAGGCGGGTAAGTCCATAGCAAGCTCAAAGTAAAGAGTCTGCTAGAAAAACAGGGACTCCATAAACTAATGCTATGCCTAATTTTAAGAACATCTGAAGGATCTTAAACATGGAGTGTCATATATTTCCAAGGCCTTGCCAAATGAGCGCCAAGGGTGCATACACGCAGTATTGACTTTTTA